AGTGGGGGGAGGAATAGTGCCCCATCGTTGGTGTCAGTGGGGGGAGGAATAGTGCCCCATCGTTGGTGTCAGTGGGGGGAGGAATAGTGCCCCATCGTTGGTGTCAGTGGGGGGAGGAATAGTGCCCCATCGTTGGTGTCAGTGGGGGGAGGAATAGTGCCCCATCGTTGGTGTCAGTGGGGGGAGGAATAGTGCCCCATCGTTGGTGTCAGTGGGGGGAGGAATAGTGCCCCATCGTTGGTGTCAGTGGGGGGAGGAATAGTGCCCCATCGTTGGTGTCAGTGGGGGGAGGAATAGTGCCCCATCGTTGGTGTCAGTGGGGGGAGGAATAGTGCCCCATCGTTGGTGTCAGTGGGGGGAGGAACAGTGCCCCATCGTTGGTGTCAGTGGGGGGAGGAACAGTGCCCCATCGTTGGTGTCAGTGGGGGGAGGAATAGTGCCCCATCATTGGTGTCAGTGAGGGGAGGAATACTGTCTCATCGTTGGTGTCAGTGGGGGGAGGAATAGTGCCCCATCGTTGGTGTCAGTGGGGGGAGGAATAGTGCCCCATCGTTGGTGTCAGTGAGGGGAGGAATAGTGCCCCATCGTTGGTGTCAGTGGGGGGAGGAATAGTGCCCCATCGTTGGTGTCAGTGGGGGGAGGAATAGTGCCCCATCGTTGGTATTAGTGACACAAATGATGGGGCACTATCCCTTCCACTGACACCAATGATACTTACCTTGCTGACTTCTGCTCCAGCCTGGGCTCGCTCTCTCCCTCTCCCATCTACAGCCTGCATACCTGGCTGCAGCAGCAAAATTTGCACTTACCTGTCAGCTGTCTTCCTTCTCTGGCCTCTCTCTTCACTCGTTCCTGCAGCTCCCTCGATCTTCTTCGATCTCCGCGCGCTGCCGCTCGGCTCTTCCTCTCCAAGCTCCACCTTCTCGCCGGTGATTGGCCGCCTGTGTGCCTCTCCTGAGCTACAGTTCCGGTGGCCAATCAGCGGCGAGGAGGCGGTGACAGGGGCAGCATATCATCCCGCCCACACATCGCCGGAGACAGCAGCGGTGTCTCGGTTCCTAAGACCATCGGAAATATGTGTTTTCCGATGGTCTTAGGCGACCCCTGGGAAATGGTCGTTCGACCCCCAAAGGGGTCGCGACCCCCAGGTTGAGAACCGCTGCTATATGGGGATGTACAGAACATTATTTATTTATTTATTTCAGGTACTTATATAGCGCCGTCAATTTTACGCAGCACTTTACATATATATTGTACATTCACATCAGTCCCTAACCCTCAAGGGGCGTACAATCTAAGGTCCCTAACTCACATTCATACATACACGTACTAGGGCCAATTTAGACAGGATCCAATTAACCTACCAGCATGTCTTTGGAGTGTGGGAGGAAACCGGAGTACCCGGAGGAAACCCACGCAGGCAAAGGGAGAACATGCAAACTCCAGGCAGGAGGTGACGTGGCTGGGATTCAAACCAATGACCATGGTCCTCACACTGGGAACACATTGATATGCCTAGTGTGAATGAGGCTTTAGGCTCAAATTAATGCTCACATGCTTGTTAGGTATTGCAAATCCTCAAAGTCCCGTACTAAAAATGTATACAAAAACTTGGAGGAGTCACCGGTACATCTACTATATTACCAAAAATACCATAGAAATGCTTGGTTAAGACTCAACTCCAAGGTACCCTTATGTAGATAATCGGATATTTCTAGATCACCCGGCAAAGGCACTGATGAGGTAAAGAACATACACTCACCGGCCACTTTATTAGGTACATCTGTTCAATTGCTTGGTAACACAAATTGCTAATCAGCCAATCACATGGCAGCATCTTATAGTTACATAGTTAGTCTGGCTGAAAAAAGACAAAAGTCCATCCAGTTCAACCATTAAAAAAAAAAAAAGTTAGAATCCTATACCCACAGTGATCCAGAGGATGGCAAAAAATCCCAGCAAAGTATGATCCAATTTACTCCTGCAGGGAAAAACTTTCTTCCTGATCCCACAAGAGGCAATTGGATATTCTCGGGATCAACTTTACCTATAAATGTTATATCCAGTTATATTCTGTGTATCTAGGAAAGAATCCAGGACTTTTTTAAAGCAATCCACTGAGCTGGCCAGAACCAACTCTTGAGGGAGTCTATTTCACATTTTCACAGCTCTTACTGTGAAGAAACCTTTCCGTGTTTGGAGATTAAATTTCTTTTCCTCCAAACGTAAAGAGTGCCCCCTTGTCCTCTGTGATGACCTCAATGCATTTAGGCTCTAGGCGTGGTGAAGACAACTTGCTGAAGTACAAACCGAGCATCAGAATGAGGAAGAAAGGGGATTTAAGTGACTTTGAACGTGGCATGGTTGTTGGTGCCAGACGGGCTGGTCTGAGTATTTCAAAAACTGCTGATCTACTGGGATTTTCATGTACAACCATCTCTAGGGCTTACAGAGAATGGTCCGAAAAAGAAAAAAATATCCAGTGAGCGGCAGTTGTGTGGAGGAAAATGCCTTGTTGATGTCAGAGGTCAGAGGAGAATGGGCAGACTGGTTGCTGCGACATTCAGATGGTAGAATGTGGCGTAAACAACATGAAAGCATGGATCCATCCTGCCTTGTATCAATGGTTCAGGCTGGTGGTGGTGTAATGGTGTGCGGGAGATTTTCTTGGCACTAGCAAGCTGTACCTAATAAAGTGGCCGATATACATATTATTGAAAATCACAAATGAAAAACATTATCTAAAACATTTTGGCCATCCTCCTCCTCTGGACAACTCAAATCTCTCATTACAGGTGACAACTAAAATTTACACACACATGGCCACTTTATTAGGTACACCTTGCTATCCAGTGTGGTCTTCTGCTGCTGCAGCCCATCTGCTTGAAGGTTCTATGTGTTGTGCGTTCAGAGATGGTGTTCTTGGTTGTAACTAGTGGTTACTTGAGTTACTGTTGCCTTTCTATCATCTCAAACCAGCCTGCCCGTTCTCCTCTGACCTCTGGCATGAACAAGGCATTTTGCCCACACAGCTGCCATTCACTGGATATTTTCTCTTTTTCGGACCATTCTCTGTAATCCCTAGAGATGGTTGTGTGTGAAAAATCCCAGTAGATCAGCAGTTTTTAAAATACTCAGACCAGCCAATCTGGCACCAACAACCTTGCCACGTTCAAAGTCACTGAAATCCCCTTTCTTCCCCATTCTGATGCTCTGTTTGAACTTCAGTAAATTGTCTTCACCACGTCTAGATGCCTAAATGCATTGAGTTGCTGCCATTTGATTGGCTGATTAGCAATTTGTGTTCCCAAGCAATTGAACAGGTGTCCCTAATAAAGTGGCCGGTGAGTGTATACAGCACTAACAGTGTTGCCTTAATGCAAATCAGTGGTGTATTTTGGTTTTGTGCTGCCCTAGGCACCAACATTCAGAGGCCCCCCCCCCTCCCCCGAGAGCCTGACACCAACCAACAACACCCCTCCCTTCCCCCCAATGGAGAGAGCCTGACATTGACCATCAACACCCATGCCACCCACCACCCGAGAGAGCCTTCCACTAACATACAATCCCCTTCCTTCCCGGAGAAAGAGAGCAAGACACTCACCTTCACAGCTCTGGACATCCCTAGGAACAAGAGTCAGGCTCTGCATACACCATCAAGCAGTCTGCAGCCTCTCTCAGATCCCACCTGGTCCCTGTGCCACATGTGTCCCCTCTTCCAGGGGGGGGGGCAGTGGTGCCCCATTGAAAAATGCCGCCCTAGGCAAATGCCTTGTTTGCCTTGTGGTGAATACGCCCCTGATGAAAATACCATCCTTGCACCAGGCTAATGACAATTGGTGGCCCCAAAATATTTTAGATTATGTTTTTTGTTTTTGGTTTGCAATAAAATGTACAGGCGTACCTCGGTTTACGAATGCCTCGGTTAACGTAATTTTCGGTTTACGAATGAAAATCCATTGAAAATAATTCCTTGGTTTATTAATTTTTTTCGCAATATGAACAGATTAATTGGTTTTCAGTGCATTTCCGATTTTTTTTTTTTTTTTTTTTTTAAATCATGTCCCTGTACCTTTACTATGACTTTAAAGTGCACTTTATAAAGAGTTTTGAACAGATAAGATGTTTCTTTGACTTTTTTCTGACCTCCAGAATGGATTAATTTGTTTTCAATGCATTTACTAATTTTTTTCGCAATACAAACGGATTAATTGGTTTTCAATGCATTTACGAATTAATCTTTATTCATGTCCCTGTACAGTATTTATGTCTTTAAAGTGCACCTTATAAAGAGTTTTGAACAGATAAAAACTTTTTTTTTACTTTTTTCTGACCTCCTATGGGAAACCACCTTTCTGTTTATCAATTTTTCAAAATACGAAAAGTCCCGCAGGACGCATTAAATTTGTAAACCGAGGCACGCCTGTATATGTGTTTTTTACTACATGAGTGGCTTTGCTGGAAAATCTAAACATATACAATTTTCTAAAAAAGGATACCTTGGAGTTGAGTTTTAACCAGGTTTTTTTATGGCATTGTTTGGTAATATATTAAATATCTGCATTAACAATACAAGTCCAAGATTTATAAAAACACTCTTTACAGAGATGGCCCAAAACGAACAACAAAATAAATAAAAAATGACTGCAGTTTGTAAAATGTTGGGACGGGGCGCTGCCGGCATTCGGTAATTTTTCATGCAATTCTGATGGTTAGAGAAGAAAAATACAATGTGATGTCCTTGGGCACCTTCCAACTGCATCGGGCAAACCTAGCTGACTATTCTTTGTGGGCAAGGTCTATTGAGCAAATGGAATTTTCCCCAGCTGCTCACCATTGTTACCAGGAATAATGCTGGAGGTGTCAGCCCTGCACATAGACACGCATGGTTGTGCAGTGTGAACATACATGTCTACCTACAAAACCTATTAAAAAAAACTGTTCAGAATTTACTAGCATATCTATAATCATATCTAATATTTCTTTTCTTCTGCTTGCAGGAATGCATATCCTGTTGTGAAGGTATGATCTGTAATGTGGATGTTCCAACAAACCATACAAATGCCATCTTCAATGTTCTGCACTCACATCGGAAATCAGATGCCCACAGGGTCACAACACTCATACCTACAATGCTTTTGTCCACATGGGTCCTCCTCATCCTTTAGCACTGTTTTTATGGGTGTAACGTAACATGTACTTGTTTCTCATCAATGGGAGGCCTTCTACAGACAGTTCTGGAATCTAGAGGAACATTCTGTTGTAACTTATTGAAAAGACAGCAAAGGACTCTGATTGTTGGCAGAAATCTGGCATAAACTTTACAGACAACAGAGTATTGGGAATATATGAGCTCTTAACGTCCTTTCCTTATAGTAACATACAATTGTATATGTCAGTGATTTCCATGTTGCATGGGAACGTATTGGATGTGTAACGCCTGGTGTTTTAATCCAGGATAAGACAATCAACTGTGCTACTTCAGAAGATGAGAATTTGTTCTTTTGGTTTTTTCTGATTGCTGCAACACCAAACCACAAATAATCCTTGTTTTTGCTTGATGGAGCCATATTTGGGCAGTAAAAGGATGACGCCATAGCTGAGAACAAAGCTGTGATAGTTGTACATATTATTCTTCTATTGGATTATAAACTCATCTCTCATCTGCAAGGGGCTTGCAGTCTTAAATGTATTTAAATTAAAAAAAAGAAGGTATAGTTGTACCAAAGTGCCAAGTTTAATAGACTTCATGATCTTTAATATACAGATCAATCAAAATGAAAGTCTGCTTTTCAGGAAAATCTAAATTTCCCTGTGTGAAAGAGCCACTTGGGATGTCACTTCCGTGGTGGAAACAGCAGTGCTAGGCGATCTCAGGTCAGAGCGAGCGCTATTAAAGTGATACTAAACCCAGGACCCTGCATTCACTATATCTGGTCTCCCACAGTACACACAACATGGAAATGCAATTACTTTAGTAAATATAAACTGCTAAATACCTTTTCTCATCAGCAGTTAGAGCAGTCTTGTGACTTCAGCAGAGCACTGGTTAAAGCTTGTAGGAGGAGTTTTCTTTCTGCTCTAGGAGGATGTGAAACCCCTGACCCCCTGTCTGGACAGTGCTGATTAGCCCTGTGCTGATCACATGCACCCTTCCAAGAAAAAAAAAAAAAAACCTCTAGCAATAGACCCCAAACTGAGCATGTGCTTGTGACCACGGGTTCAGTCTGTATCAGGTGGACATTTCAACAAGAGGAGGGGCAGAGAAGAAAGGCTCAAACAGCCTTTTTACACAAAGCAGATAATTAACCCTTTAGGTTCCACAGAGAGTATAACAAGCATGCTTTACTGCATATACAGACTGATTTTACTGTTGTGGGTTTAGTAACACTTTAAATATTCATGCTGCAATACCACATTTCAGCAGTAGGTGGCACTACAGATAAAATGTCTTGTGAAAGCTTCTGATCCACATATATCTGAGGACAGCTGGGAGGGGAATCCTGAACGGGTCAGAAAGGACTAATACCCCCAGCAGGGGCACATCAATAAAAACTTGACACTATCATCCTTGTAATGTATTTGTATACTTTCACCCTTTTATTTGTGCAAAAATTATTTTACGGTTTTGTTCAAGATAAAAAAACAAGTTCAGCCTGTACCTGGTAAAATATGCCTTAATAATGTTTTTTGTAAACTATTTTGTAATTTTTTTTTTTACATTTTGTACACTATTTATATTAAAACATTCAAATACTATACAAATGCTTAGCATGTCCTATAACATTAGGCCCTACATAAAGCACAATTGCCAGCTGTTACAAACTGGTTTCACACCTATGCATTACTGCAACACGTTTACACATGTCACTTTGTGTGATGCATTTCATTAAAAATGGCAGCACAATTAACAAGAACTGTATTTGACAACACACTGGTTGCTGGGTGGAGGCTACATTTTTAACATGGACCAAGTGTCCCTCTATCCCATCTCAAAGAGTTGGTTGGGTTGTAAAGCTGTGCTGGCTCAATGCATCTGGTTTGAATCAGTTTCCACAGACATTAGACGTTTATGCAGTTTCCCTGTAGTTAATTTAAACACGTGTACACGTTTTTAAACAGTGACAAGTCTGGGGTGGTGGTAGTGGGTGGAGGTAATGTTGGATAATTTCACAGACATTTTTATGAAACAATAAGCTAAGGCCTAAATTCAAAACACAAGTCGCCTACAGCTGAGCATGTTGGGTCCTGTGGTTTTCCCTTTTATTCAATTTCCCCAAATAGAATTACCTAGGTAAAGCCAAATAAACACATGTAAAATTAGAATCTCATTTTATTGTGTGTACGTAGTTGGTCACCAGAGGGCATCTTGCACAGTCCTCTATTACATCTAGTATCTGCTATGTACAAGAATTTCTACTTTGAAGCTTTAGAAAATGAGCAGCACATATTAAACTCACCAATACACTAATGAGGTCTACAGTGTGCCCTCTACTATTTTATATATAATATAAAAAGAGATCCAGCATAATGCTTCCTCCACATATATAGGTTTCACCTCGGCATCCTGCTGCAAGGACTTACTTTGACCCCCCCCCCCCCCAGTATCCATCTCCAAGGACCCACTATACTCTCACCCCATAATCCATCGCCAAAGACACACATTGGTCTCACCTCAGTATCCAGCTACAAGGATACACATAGGTCTCACTCAAGTATCCAACTCTAAGTACACACTTTGGTCTTACCCCAGTATCCATCTCCAAGGACGCACACGGGTCTCACTCGAGTATCCAGCTCCAAGAACACAAATTGGTCTCTCCCAGTATCCAGCTCCAGGGACAAACTTTGGTCTCACACCAGCATCCAGCTCCAATGTTAAATTGTGGTCTCACACCTGTATCCAGCTCCAAGGGCAAATTGTGATCTCGCACCTGTATCCAGCTCCAAGGGCAAACTTTGGTTTCACACCAGTATCTAGCTCCAAGGGCACATTGTGGTCTCACACCTATATCCAGCTCCAAAGGCAAATTGTGGTCTCACACTAGTATCCAGCTCCAAGGACAAACTTTGGTTTCACACCAGTATCCAGCTCCAAGGATACAAATAGGTCTTGCTCGAGTATTCAGCTCCAAGGATACAAATAGGTCTTGCTCGAGTATTCAGCTCCAAGGATACAAATAGGTCTCACTCAAGTATTCACCTCCAACGGCACACATAGGGTTCACCCCAGTATCCTGCCACAAGGACACACTTTGGTCTCACCCCAGTATCCAGCTCCAAGGATACACATGGGTCCCACTTGAGAATCCAACTCTAAGGACCTATATTGGTCTTTTCCAGTATTCAGCTCCAAAGACATACTTTGCTCATAGTCCAATATCTAGCTACAAGGGCCAACCTTGGCCTCACCTCAGTAACTAGCTGCAAGGACAGACTTTGGTCTCAACCCAGTATCCAGCTCAAAGGACAAATTTTGGTCTCACACCAGTATCTAGCTGCAAAGACAGTTTGGTGTCACCCCAATATCCAGCTCCAAGGATACAAATAGGCCTCACTTGAGATTTCAGCTCCAAGGGCACACATAGGTTTCACCCCAGTATCCAGCTATCAGGACACATTTGCTCTTTCCCTATTGATATCTGAACACCAGGATGCACAATTATCAGTAAGATCTGCAGCCCAGTACAAAAAGCACTATTTCCAGTATGTATTGTATATAAAAAAATAACATCTGCACCCAGTATACATAGCTCAATTTCCATTATTCATATCACCAGTGAGATTTTGACCCCAGTACACAACCAGTATTTATGAAACCTGTGAATTCTCCACCCAATTCACCCCATTGTGCACAGCTCAATCCCCAGTATCCATGTCATCTGTGAAATCTTCACCCCAGTACACATAGAACATGAAATTGTAAGACTAATGCAGAGTTGTTTTTTTGGCACAAGAACAGGTCTAGAAATGTTGAAAGGAGCTTCTGTAAAGCTCCAGAACTATTTAAAACCCTTAAAAAGCACCATCCCTTCTGACTTCAATGTAATGAAAAATTCAACATTGCTTACGGTCTTTTCAATATTTGCTATAGAAATAATCCATAATTTATTATTGCCTTTTGAGTTTCATCTAATGGGCATGGTTTCCTTTGCACTGGGTGGTAGACATCCAGTTTACGGGCCGCACACAGTTACTTAGATAACACTTATGAAGATACATGAGGGTAAGGATTAAGATAAGTACACATGCAGTATATATCAACTCGCAGAATCTACAGATAACCCAACCAGTGAAAATCACATGGTCAGATATGTGACATTTGTGAACAAACAATGCCGGGCAGGATCCAACGTGTGGGACTCCGGCTTTTGTTTCCCACAGTTCGCAATCTCTTGGCGCACCGTGTGTTTACCAAGCCAGGAATGCTGGGATATGTGTCCTGACATCTCCCTCTGCTCCCTTCCCACAATGTATGGAGTGTGTCTTACGCAGCACCACTTCCCCAGCACAATACTGTCTGACATATTGTTTTGGTTGGATCTGATTTTGGTAGATGGTCCTGAGGGCCAGACAATCACAGACGGAAAGTATTTTCGTAATAATGATGTTTAGTATCGTGAAATGACCCAAGGATCATTAATAACAGGTAATCTACGTATTATTTGTCTTTGTCAAAATGGGCCTCATTTATCAAAGTGTCTGCAATAAAAACTGGCAGTGTTATTTGCTAAGGCCAACCCATTCTAAAAATGACAGACAGGAACTGACGGGGTAATCTTTAGGATGCAAACATTTTTTTCCCAGACACTGATAAATTGCCATTTTTTTCCAGCCAGCATCACTGTATGAAAACACCACAGTCATTGTCGTGAAACTGTGTCTTCTATCAACCTAAAATCTGCAGCAGATGGAAGATGTAGAGAGGCAAGGAGTAGACTGCCATTTGGCATCTGCCACTTGAAATGGGCCATGTGACCTTCATGTCATTATCAGCTCCTATACCGAGCTTCAAGGATAAAGTGCTGAAGTGCCACTCAGAGTAGGATAACCTTTACGGAATTGAATACCAGTTGCATGGCCGTCTCTGGCCTCAATGTTCTGAGTCACTGACCTTCACAAGCATGCAGATTAAGAGGTCAGTGCGGAGTCTGACTAATCGGCATAC